CTTGGAGAAAAAAGTTGAAATACTCAGGATAATATTACCAGCAGGTGGCCCAGGAAAATTTAATCAAACAGGTATCTAACGATAAATCACAGCCTTTTTCCAATGTTGTCACTGGAGCGGCGTCTCCGAAGAAAAATCACACAGCAATTTTTCCTGCAATCGATGGCAATTGCCACAGGTAAAGTCATAGGCCCCAAAAACATCATTTTTGCTTCGAGAATGAGCAACAATAAGATTTCTACAACAAAGGAATTAGTTCAATAGTTTATTGAAAATAAGGGGGAGGGGAGTAGTAACATAAATCAGATTTTTGTGCCAACTAGAAAGTTGATTCTGCCCGCAGAAAGAATTATATTATCCAATGTTTCGCCCTGTATTTCCCATTTCGTAATAGAACGTGTTACTACCGCATATGTCGTTCATTGGTGCCGGTATTGGGGTAGAGGGTTATCTTCATCTGTACAGCTTTCGACATCAAATATTCATAGCATGTGAATCCTAGGACGAGTTAGATTTTCCATCCTCCATCGTGTTTGAGTATTGAAGATTTTTTTGTCTGAAAAGGTTAAGTGCTATAAATGCAAAGAGATGGGTTACTTCGCATCTAAATGCATAAGATTTGAGCCCAATATACAGGTTACCGCAAATCTAATAAACGACCTCACCTAACTTCAACACCTAGGTCAGTAACGCCCCACTTTCCAATTTCGATGAAGAAGAAGAAAGTCTCAATGCCAAGTAGAACCCTTCGTAAAACCAAGAAATGCATACACACTTCAAAACCTGCTTAAAAAAACTCAAAGTAGGATCATCAGCACCCGTAACTGAAAACTATGAAGAAAGTAGAAACATTTCGGATGACATTGGATTATTTAACGTTTTGTGATTTAATGGATAATGCAAAAGGTTCGAATAGCTTTTTGGAAGTTTCAAAAAGGTGAAGATATAAACGGAATTATCGACATTATCAAGGCTGTAACCCCCGTTTTCAGTCAACAAGTAATAAAGGAACGTTGTAAGAGGTTAATTAAATACTTACAGAGATAAATTTATAAGGAAGCAACTGGTGTCTTCGCCACGGTGCCTTAGTGGCTCCGCAAGAGAGCTGCGATTATCTATTGAGCGTATTGACAACACTTATCAACTGACGAATTTAGGACTTTTTTTGACAGTAAATGTTAATAATTGTGACATTTGTCTTTTTCAAGAAGCAAATATTGATAGTATGAATGACGATATGCATCTCTCATCTTGGTATACAGTGCCACCATGCTCAGAAAAGCCCCGGAAAATATGCGAACTAATTTTGAAATAATTCAGGCTGGCCAATAGAAAGTCTGCAAAACGACGCGATACATTCCGCGCCATAATTATTAATTATTCGGTTTTGACAGTTGACTTTTCACGTTATTTTAGTTTACACTTTGCTTCTTGTATTTGCTTTTTTTTACGTTTTCCGTCTCCAGTTTTATAAAAACTCGTCTTTTTCAAGACGCATATAGCTTGGATCTACGATCTGATAAGGTATTTAATTCCCTTCGTGTTTTTAAATTTTGCATCAGAATGTACGGTCTAAATTTCTAGCGCCCTCGGACACGCCCTGTCAGGGACTTTCTGAGCGTGGTGCCACTGTATTTCCTATCATAACCTAGCTACGGAACGGTACTTCGGAACCGCCATTGCTGTTAGAAAACAGGGATCATTTATCACTATAAATTATCTTTGGATATACTACCATAAGTATCTGAACACCCAGTGTACTTTGATCAATTTTGATTAAGCCTACGCAAGCTCACACCTGATGTTTAAAATATGCGATATGTTTCCTGTAGTAGAAGAAGCATTTGCTAGAATTTTTAAAAAAAATTTTATTTTGCCTTTATTGTTGAGTCGGTACCAAGCCAACCCACTATACATTTACAAATATTCATGCCGGAACCCGGATTCGAACCAGGGACCCTTAGCACCACAGTTCAGCTTGAACTGAACTGCGCCACACTCAAAACAATATCTGTATATATAAAGGAAATTGACATTGCGCAGAATGCGCATGCGCACCTCTGATTTTTACAATATGAGATATGCTGGTCTTTGCTAGAAGCATCTGTGATTAAAATTTAACAAATATCTATAAATAAGAAAGCTGACATTGCGCAGTTTGTGAATGCGCAAATTAATCCGTTGGTGTTATACCTAAACGACACTTAAAAAATAAATCGAACCCCAAACCCATGATAGGATCGAACTCCTAGTTACATATTATATATCATATAGTGTTAGGTATACCATGCGTAATGCGCCTTAGACCAACATTTTTTACATGCGCTTTCATTTTTTTTATTTGATGCTTCAGAGAAATCTCTTTATAAATAAGAAAGTTGGGTGTGCGCATGCCCACATCACGAAAAATTCAATTTTGCCTTCAATTGAATTCATTCAAGGAACCTGCAGTTCCTACTTTAAGTATGTATATGCGCTATTCAATTTTTGAAATATACACTTTGAATGACCTTTTATACCAAGGACCTATTGTAAACATTTATCAAAAAGTCTAATGTGCGAGGTAATTTTTCACGTGTGCCGGGAATTTGCTTTTATTTGAAGGATCCACATTAAAATTTTTAGAAAAATCACTTTAAAAGTTTAAAGGGAAGTTGGGTATGGGCATACATTTTTTGATAGTTTCCTTTATTTTTTATAGTTTTCCGGAAAGCTAGAAGGTTTCCAAAGCAATACATTTTTTAACAGAACGACATTGGGTAAGGAATTGCATGGAGATTGGCAAAAAACAGATTGGCTGCTGCAGTATTCCTTACAAAAGCAGGTACAGGAAAAATAGCAACTACCCATTTTGTCAAAATCTTGGAACCAGACGTGAATGGATTTGAAAGTATATGGTGTGAAAAAGGTGTTCTGTGTAAAATTGACAAAGGCGAACTTAAAATACTGATGTAGTTTTGAGTTTTTTGTAGTTATTCTGTAATCGGTAATATGTGTATATGGAATCAAGACTGTATCTGCTATTACAGGGTGGATCTTTCAATTTGGGTCATCCTGTATATTAGAATTGATATCAAGATGGCGTTTTCTAGTAAAATTTAGTGTATTAGAAGCACGCCCATCGCCCATACATGATTATACTAAGGCGTAATTGTAATTGTGGAAATAAATGTTCGCTGATGATGACATCTTTATTTTCGAAACGCGTATGTGTTTTATTAAAGTTTGTTAATTCGGTCCTTTCCACCTCGTGGAATGTTAAAGAAAAGTACCAACTTTGAACATAATTTAACAGCCCTGATCCCACAAACCGCATGTCGATTTGAACTATAAAACAACAAGCATGACATCGTGATGGATGCTGCAGTTAGAGAAAAAGTATAGTGTTTTAAAAAAGGTATATATTAAGCGAAACGTTGTTTTAACTTTCCCTAGAAAGTTACAAACTTCTTTTTAGTAACAGAAACTTTAATTTAAGAAGTGCGCGAAGTAAACAAAAGTTGTTTGCATACGGGGAGTGACAGCCTAAGTTGATGTCAAACATCGCACAATTGCATTACCTACCTATTTATGTCGTGCAGGTGACACCTATACCTACTTGGTTATACTTCCGTCTTCAAATACGAATACGTCAAGGGAACAAACTTAAAGGATGTTATTTCAACAATAATATTTCTATTACCAACAGCGGATGGGAGGATAATATCAGACTCGAGACTGCTATATAATATAATTGATGTGACCGTTTATATACCTACTTTAAGTCAGTGTTTTGTGGTGTACCCGAGGGATCTAGGTTCACTTTTCGAGCGTAACACAACGAAGTTGAGGTAACGCTTATGTGCTCGATTAGCCGTCGTCTGTCTGTCTGTCTGTTCCGTCGAGATCTCTTTACAAGGTTTCCTATTTATGGTTTCCACTAGACCTAATTAAATCAATTTTTGTGGTCACGGACTAACAGTTTACGGCAACAAAAACCTTCACTGAGAAACTCCTTTTTTGTATCAAATCCAATTCTAATTCATGAATGGAAAAAATACATGCAATACAAATGGCTAGATATTGATACCTTGAAGAAAAAACATATCTAATTTTTCTTCGTAATCTCTGGGCGTAATGTTCTTATTTGATTTGTCTTTCATTTAATACGATAATAATTTTTTCACGACTGTAATTCGCTTACCCAACTGCTCGAGTATTTTATCGTCTTTTTTAGACCATGTCGTTAGTATGGACAAAAGACTGACACGTTCACATTAATTCGCTTCTGGATGTTAGTTCATTTAACCGCAAACTCACAAAGCTTGGGTTTAAATTTTCAATTCAATAAAACTACCCTTAATCACAAATTGGTTTTCTGATGCCCGAAAACAAACCCCAGCTTTGACTCTTGGAAAACTAGGACGTTATTTCTCGACGAAATTTCGTGATTACTTTTTGGTAGTTCTCGACCGAATCTCTTCTAAAATTTCCCCGGATTAACTAATCGCGGAAAATCTCTCAGAGAATAAATTTACTTTTTTATTAAACTCAGTAATGTAAAATCTTACTAAGGACCGCGCACTGGTCGCAAACACTTTATTAATGGCACATAGGAGCTGTTTTGCAGAGCTCACATACTACGTAATAATAAACATTGTCTTATATGTATAGTTATGATTACACCTTGGATGTGTGACATAAGGCTTCAAAATAGAAAAAGTAACATAATACATTTCGCGTCGCATTGATTTTCTGTTACATGGCGTTATGTATAGCGTCAAGAAAATAATTGACAACTGTGGACTAATGCATGTGCAAGCAGCATACAATCAATCATATCTGTTGAAATGTGTCGTCCGATGCGTGATTTGTAACCTTACAATGATGATTTGCAAAACCACCTTTACAAATTTGCCGAAAATGTATCTACCTACCTAAAAGCACCGTTGTATTTTTATGTATATATAAAAATGTAAGAATCTAGCAGCGAGAGAGTAAATAAGAAAGCCGATACTTACCCGTGTTAACACAGTGCGTTGTAACGCAAAGGTGGTCGTTTTCCAACGTTAATCGAAATCCCAAAAGAACAATGGTTCCGGACGAAATTAGTAATAGGCTCGTGGATAAAAAGATTAGTATTGCGAATTTAATAGAATTGTCCACTCTTCTGCAACAAAAGAAAATTTGTAATAACAGATGCGGTAACACACTCTTACATTTATACTACGCGAGCCAGCTCCGTATGACATTCAATCTTCCAATATAGTTGAAAATCGCATTAAAAGAAACAGTTTACGTATTAATATTGGCTGACATTTCTACATTATAGAAATCCCATTGATTGTTTATAGTTACCATTGCAGATAAAGAAAGCAAAATTTTCTCAAGAAAATGTCATTAAGGTGACGTGTGTTTTAATTTTGATCAATTTAATAATAAATGTGTCCAGAAGCAAGTTCACGAAGGTTTAGTGAGAAGTCTAACGCGTGTTGTCCGATTACGACTACTTTGTCGAGTTTTGTTTGGTTAAGGTTCTATTAAAAGTTAAAAGTTTCTACCGCCCGAACAGCCCCAGAAAATTTTCTCAGCTCTTCTTGTCACATAATTCCGTGTTACAAAGCAAGCCTTGCAAGACCAGATTATTTGAATTAAAACTGCAATTTAATCTTTTTTTAAATTTAATTGTCGACCAACTGCGTGCGGGGTCATAATATGTCCAAACAAGCTTTGTAAGCTTTCTTTCTTTCAGAGATTTTGTGTTTCAGAATAAATTGTCAATCAATGAATTGTATGTTTATTCGAATCGATTGTACGATCCGGATAGTCTTCATGTCAGATTTTTTTCCTTTTGGTGCCCAAGATTTACATCAGGTGTTGATGAAAATTTGTGTAATAAATTCTTTGGAATCTTCGGAAGTTGAAACAGGTTAGTTACTTTGCGAAAGTGGAAGTGAGATCGGATTAAATCTACTGGTTTAAACATCAGGGTCCTATCAAAAATGGCGTGTGTCCCTTTTTAACATTCGTTCTATCCTCCTCAGGAGAAACGATACACGATATTTGTACAAAAACCAACGTGGTTTTTGCAATGGTTTAAAGTAAATCGTGCATAAATTGACCGGATTTCCGTTGGTGTTAGTTCATAGAGTGCAATCGTAACGACTTTCCCATTTACTTTGATGTGCAGATTATTATGCTTCGAAAGAAAAAAATAATTCTGTCATTGAACCAGAGAATGCCCTTTTCGCTACGAGCTAGGGTGTAAACGCATCCAAATCATCCTTAAAGGAGGATAACTCCCAAACTTTTGTAACATTTGAAAAACCTCACTTCTTTTGGTTTTTTCAACACAAGTATGCGTTTTTTTTTAATATCTCTATGGACTGAGGGTTGAAAACACATTCAGCAAATCCAAAACGGTGCTGACAACATGGAGACGAGGGAACTCTGAATCACAGAGCGACCACATAGTAAGAACCAAGTCAAAGAAAATAAGCATCATGAACACAGTAGGAGTATGGGCCAGTTCAGTAGGATCGGACCACAAGATGGTAAGGGGGAAAGTAAGAGGGAGGGGGAGGAGAAGAAAGTGAAAAGTAAGGAAAGAATAGGAAGCAGCGCGGGAAAACTGAATGGTTGGATGTGAGACTTCTGAAAGGGAAAAAAAGGGCGGTGTACAGAAAGGAGCAGGATGGAATCAGGCACCAAAAGGGGGAAGAGGGACCATCTTGGAACAGGATAGCCGAGACGCTTATAGAAGCAGCAGGGAAAACATTAGGACGGGATAAGCCTCCCATGTCTCCGAACAGAAAGCAAGCCATGGACAACCACAGAAGATCACTGAAGAGGTTTGGGCAAAACCCGCACAGACATGATGCAAAAAAGGAACTAAGGGAAGCCAGGTAGGAGAAAAACAGAGGCTGTGAACAGCATGTGATTAAGGAATTCGCTGAGTTTGCAATGAACATCGCCAAGCTTAGCCCAATGGAGAGGAACGCGCAAATGTATAAGCACATACAAAAAACAAAAGCAGGAACCAAAAAATATGTACCAATGACAGCATGGGAGAAGTTTCTGAAGGAGGAACAAGATGTACAGGTCCAGCTATTGGAGGAGAACGATTACTGACCACTACCACCACCCTCCACGCTGGAAGAAATAATGGAGATAGTAGGAAGACTGAAAAAGGGGAAAATGCCAGGGCAGGATAGCGTCCAGGCCGAATTACTACAATACGCTTCAGAATGGCTAATAAAGGACCTACACGATTTCATTCAAGAGGTGTGGACTAGGAAATTGATCCCCAAGGAATGGCAACAGAAAGTGCAGATCCCCATCCCAAAAATCAGATCACCACAAGGAACAGACGACTACTGGAGAATCTCGTTATGCAGTGCGGGCTACAAGATATACGCAACCAACCTGTTACAATGCTTAGAGGGCCACACACCCGAGACACCAGCATACCAAGCAGCGTTAAAAAAAGGCAGATCAACGGACGACCACATATTCACGACCAGGAGGGTTATAGACGAATACTGGAGGGCAGGAACCAAAATGTTCTAGAAAATGTCGCTCCTAGCGATAGACTTAGCGAAGACCTTCGACCAAGTGAAGCATGAAGCAATGGTCACCTCTCTGACGTTACTGGGACTGCCCAAATAGAGTTATAAACGCGTGCCTAAGGGAGTATACTAGTATACAATGGTTTGGGAAGAACACCGAGCACCAAAAGAAAACCAGGGGAATCAAACAAGGATATCCACTTTTCTCAAGGCTCTTCGATAGCACTTGATCACGCTTTAGAACTAACAAGGATGGTGGTGAGGAAACTTCAGCACAGGCGACCAATTACAGCTACCGACACTACTGACGTACGCGGACGACTTACTCGTAATTGCAGATAAGTTAAAAGACATTGAGGGTTTCGTCCAAACCAGCGAGGTATACCTGAAACCAGAGGAATCAAAGAAGGATGTCCGCTCTCCCCAAGCCTTTTCGCGATAGCACTGGACAACCCCATAGACCAAACAAGGAGGGTGGTGAGGAACTTCAGTACGGGTGGCCAGTTACAACTACCGACACTATTGGCGTACGCGGACGACCTAGTCGTAATCCCGGACAAGAAAGAAGATCTCGAGGACTTCGCCCAAACCAGCGAGGTATACCTGGAGATGGCAGGCCTACAAATAAACAACGAAAAGAGCTACATGATCATAAGAGACCCAGGAAGCAACACTCAATACAAGGAAGAAGGAAAGATCACAATAGGCGCGAGGGAGATAACCATGAAGCACAAGATTAAATATCTGGGAGCGTACATAAGCAGCATACTCAGTAGACAGGAAAGTAGGCCGACCCTATTTCACATGGAACACCACTATAGACCAAACGGTGGAGGCCTCGGGGATTCCCATAGAAAGATGGGAAGAGTGGAGCAGAGCCAAACACCAAATGAAGAAAGAAAGCAGACGAGTACTGGAGGTGAAGGAAGAATCAGATATAAGCACAAGCAGCCCAGAGGAGGAGGAGACAGAAAGAGAGGCAGGGAGAGGACAACAATAAGAAAGGGAGAACCTAAAAGGAAGGAAATGAGAAAAGGATGGAGGCAGCGGAAAGTAGCAGAACGCCCGGGGGCGAGGTCATCACCAGGACGCAGAATTCCCTCTAATGTGGCCGTACCCTTTCGGGTCGGATAACACCCAGTAAGCTCCCCCCCCCCAAACCTCCCCAATCCACAAAATCCACCACATTGTTTGGCATATGTCGCGGCCCAGCGCAATGGCAACAAAGTGGTGGAGGTGCCCCCTGTTAGTACCTATCAGGGACATATCCCCACGATTGTTGACTAAATTCTGGGAGAGGTGGCTACGCCAGGCATATACCAAGCATCATGTGGCAACTATGGCAAGGAACTAACTGATCAACTTTTGGTCATTTGGACTTTCTGTTCGTCCGTCTGTGTACAACTTCGGTTTTTAGTTAAATCATTGTCCAAAAACGAAGAACACCATGCATTTGTAACGTCACTCCTTATAGTGTGTCAAGATTAATTAAATTTTGCGCTTTAAGATTCTTGTAAAACCATGGGAACCACGGTATTGTACTTTTTTTCCCCGATTCCGGTTATAGTTTGGGTCTCATATACTGCGGCATGTATTGGAATGTTTTTAGATTTTTGGGAATCTCTACACTTCATTTTCTATCTCAGTAATCTTGCAATATCTTCTAATTTGTATGGCAGCCCACTATGTCAGACTTTTAACATTTTTCGGAACTCTAATTAGAACTGCAGAATTCTGGAATCTTTTGCGGACGGAAGGGCCGGAAATGGGTAGTAGATAGTCTGTTCTTCTTGAAAAGGTATAACTTATTTACAGAGACGTGCTCTTGTAAATCGATTGTAAGTAAATGATTTAACTTTGAATATTATTATGAACGAAATCGAATTAAACCATAACTTCCGTTTCGCTACGTACTCTCATTATAACTTCTTACAATCGAATTATCTTCGAACGCTACTGATTCACTTTTATTAAACCATTAGGCCAAACTAAAAGCAAAGTTCTGGCTATTCGTTCTTCCTTTATCACAGCGGTGCATAATCTGTGGACAAAATGACAAATTCCGAATTTATCAATTTATGTAGCTACCTTTCCTGAATTACCATCTTCGATATATAAACGACAAATTATTCAAATTTGAATTGGGGACAGAGGTTAGAACACACATTCAATTATCTTAGTTACACCACCTAGTAAAATAGAGACGCGAGAAATGTTGCTGCACTACCAATTCAGGTCGTGGATCGGAAATCTTTATAAAATGGAAAAGGATGTTTCCGATTAATACTTGATTATTAAGTTCATAGATATTTTCACAACACACGCTACTATAGTTATAAAGTTTCGCGATTACATCGCGTTCAAGATGTCTTCTCATAATCACCTTAGTTTTAGTTTGATGAAATGGAAAGTACTCGTAGTTTCAATAGTATATTAATACTAATTAGCACAATGTTAGAATGTGATTTGATAGAGCTATTGTACCTACTTCCTAGTTTAACTCCAAAAATGCTGAGAACTTTATTTTATATCTGAAAAAAGTTTCCTAACAAAATACACCACTAATTATCAAATTAGAATGGATATCAAAATGATTACAGAT